CTAGGTTTGACTAGCACGTGAGCTAAATTGATGATAGTGAAAAAACATAGAAAAATAGCTATATTTGTTTTATACATTGCTAGGAAAGTTGTTTAGAATGATCATGCATACACCCTGTTGTGAATCCAGTATTAAAGGATCTCCACCGATGTTCAAAAATATATATTAAAATTTTGAACATCTTAAAAAGATCAAATGAAGCACTTGCAATGGAAAAATCTGCAAACAATGATATGGAAAAATACTTAGAACTAAATCTGAAATTGATATTTTTTGTGCAACTCTTAGCCAGATTTGAGTGAAAAAGGTTTTCATTTTTTGGGGTAATTTCAAAAGAAAAAAGATCATTCTTGGAGACCTGAAAATTTGCACACAAGTTATTGATTCAGACCTGTATCAAATTGTGGACAAAGCTTGGAAAAACAGTTTTGGGTCTTCGTTAACGTGTCAAAATATCTCAGTGGAGTCCCTTTAACAAAGCCATGATGTTGATGAACATTCATGATAGGTGAATACTTAGAAAGTGATATAATATAAAGAATTCCAAAGTCTGAATTGAAATAATTATTGTAACATCTAATACAAGTATTATTTTATTTATATAATTAATTTTTTCCTAGTTTAATATAGTAATGTGATAAGAGACCCTTCAACAAGACAATTAGCTTTATGTGAACCTTTAGATAAAAGTGCAAAATAGATACCCAAAATTATATATCTATCCATTCCATTTTATAAATTTCATAGTAACAATGTTTCAGCTAGGTTATCTCAAGGACATTATTTTATTTAAAAAATTTCATCTGAAATGTAATAATGATGTTACTATTTTTAGATTTTGTGTACACAAACATCATCGTTAATATGTGACATCACTTTGCCCTGATGAGTATAAGAGAAACTGGTTGGCAAATCACTAAATTATTTGTGTTTATTATTATTATTATTATCTAAGGAGTAGTGGCTACATATAGGGATCACTTCTGCGTCGTCCGTCTGTCCGTCCGTCCGTCACAAAACTTGTCCGGACTACTCCTCATAAACTACTGGTGAAATTTCATCCAAACTTTACAGGAATGATCAGTACCAAGTCTAGTTTTGCATATTGTCAGCATTTTCCGGTTCAATGATTTTTGTCAGAGTTATGGCCCCTTAATAATTTTTATTTTTAAAGTTTGTCCGGACTAACTTCTCTTATACCACTAATGCAATTTCAATGAAACTTTACAGGATTGATCTGTAGCTCAAGTCCTTGCGCATATTGCACGGGTTTTCCGGTTGAATGCTTTTGGCCGAGTTTTGGCCCTTTGATAAAAAGGTGTTTTTTTCTGTGTGTTGCCAGATACACAAAAGCTTGTCCGGACTACTTCTCATAAACTACTGGTGCAATTTCATCCAAACTTTACAGGAATGATCAGTACCAAGTCTAGTTGTGCATATTGTCAGCATTTTCTGGTTCAATGATTTTTGTCAGAGTTATGGCCCTTTAATAATTTTTAGCTCGACTATTTGATAAGAATAAGTAGAGCTATTGCAGTCACCCGAGCGTCGGCGTCCGCGTCCGCGTCGGCGTAACCACTTATGTTAAAGTTTTTGTAATAGTTCAAATATTTTCAAAGTCCATAGACATATGGCTTTGAAACTTTGCACACTTGTTCACCATCATGACCCCAACCTGTAGACAGGAGGAGGTAACTCTATCAAGCATTTTGACAGAATTATGCCCCTTTTTCGACTTAGAATTTACGTTAAAGTTTTTGTAATAGTTCAAATATTTTCAAAGTCCATTGACATATGGCTTTGAAACTTTGCACACTTGTTCAACATCATGACCCCAACCTGTAAACAGGAGGAGGTAACTCTATCAAGCATTTTGACAGAATTATGCCCCTTTTTCGACTTAGAATTTACGTTAAAGTTTTTGTAATAGTTCAAATATTTTCAAAGTCCATTGACATATGGCTTTGAAACTTTGCACACTTGTTCACCATCATGACCCCAACCTGTAAACAGGAGGAGGTAACTCTATCAAGCATTTTGACAGAATTATGCCCCTTTTTCGACTTAGAATTTACGTTAAAGATTTTGTAATAGTTCAAATATTTTCAAAGTCCATTGACATATGGCTTTGAAACTTTGCACACTTGTTCACCATCATGACCCCAAACTGTAAACAGGAGGAGGTAACTGTATCAAGCATTTTTATACGCCCGTTTGAAAAACGGGACGTATTATGGGAACGCCCCTGGCGGGCGGGCGGCGTCCAATTTTGTCCGGAGCATATCTCCTACATGTATGGAGGGATTTTAATGAAACTTCATTAAAATGTTCACCACTATGTGGAGCAGTGTCGCGCACATGAACCAGTTCTCTAGGTCAAAGGTCAAGGTCACACTTAGAGCTCATTGAAAAATGCTTGTCCGGAGCAAAACTTCCACATGTATAGAGGGATTTCAATATTACTTGGCACAAAGTTCACCATTGTGAGGTGGAGTGTCGCGCGCAAGATTCAGGTCCTTGCGGCCAAGGTCAAGGTCACACATAGAGGTCAAAGTTCAGATAAAAATATGAAGATGTGTATATGGACCATTTAGTCATCATTTATTGAGGGATTGTAACACAAATGGTCATTATCAAGACTATGGCTGTGATAATTATAATTTAGGTCAATATATACAAGGTCAAGGTCACTACAGATGATGAAATATCCAGATTTTGTCCGGAGCATATCTCCTACATGCATGGAGGGATTTTAATGAAATTTCATAGAAATGTTCACCATTATGAGAAGCCATGTCACGCACATGAACTAGGTCTCTAGGTCAAAGGTCAAGGTCACACTTAGAGCTCATTGAAAAACGCTTGTCCGGAGCAAAACTTCCACATGCATAGAGGGATTTCAATATAACTTGGCACAAATGTTCACCATTGTGAGGCGGAGTGTCGCGCACAAAATTCAGGTCCCTGCAGCCAAGGTCAAGGTCACACATAGAGGTCAAAGTTTAGATAAAAATATGAAGATGTGTATAGGGATGATTTAATCATCATTTATTGAGGGATTGTAACACAAATGGTCATTATCATGACTACGGGTGTGACACATGTACTTTAGGTCAATATATGCAAGGTCAAGGTCACTAAAGATGGTGAAATATCCAGATTTTGTCCGGAGCATATCTCCTACATGTATGGAAGAATTTTTATTATACTTTATGGAAATGTTCACCACCATGATATGTATTGCTCCATGCATGATCCAGGTCTCCAGGTCAAAGGTCAAGGTCACACTAAGAGCTCATTGAAAAACGCTTGTCCGGAGCAAAACTTCTACATTCATAGGGGGATTTCAATATAACTTGGCACAAATGTTCACCATTGTGAGGCTGAGTGTCGCACGCAAAATTCAGATCCCTGCTACCAAAGTCAAGGTTACACATAGAGGTCAAAGTTCAGATAAAAATTTGAAGATGTGTATAGGGACCATTTAGTCATCATTTATTGATGGATTGTAGCACAAATGGTAACTATCATGACTACAGGTGTGACACATTTAATTTAGGTTAATATTTGCAAGGTCAAGGTCCCTGGAGATGATTCAATATCCAGATGTTGTCCGGAGCATATTTTCTACATGCATTGAGGAATTTTAATGTTACTTTATAGAATTGTTCACCACCATGAGACGTAGTGCCCTGCACATGAACCAAGTCTCTAGGTCAAAGGTGAAGGTCACAGTTAGAGCTCATAGAAAAACGCTTGTCTGGAGCAAAACTTCTACATGCATAGAGGGATTTCAATATAATTTGGCACAAATGTTCATCATTGTGAGGCTGAGTGCCATGCATAAAATTCAGGTCCCTGCGACCAAGGTCAAGGTCACACATCCTGTGCATATCTTCCCTACTGATTTGTTTTAAGGTTCATTTAACAACACAGTGCCAAGAATAAAAACTTGCTTGCTAGATAACACTTATCCATAATGCCCCCATCTCCATCTAAAGCTTTCGTAAACGGGCGTATTTAGTGACTATGGCACCCTTGTTTTTACTATCAAGCACTAAAAATAGTCGAGCGTTGCTGTCCTACCGACAGCTCTTGTTATTTTTAAAGTTTGTCCGGACTACTTCTCTTTTACCACTAATGCAATTTCAATGAAACTTTACAGGATTGATCTGTAGCTCAAGTCCTTGCGCAAATAGCACGGGTTTTCCGGTTGAATGATTTTTGGCCGAGTTATGGCCCTTTGATAAAAAGGTGTTTTTTTCTGTGTGTTGCCAGTTACACAAAAGCTTGTCCGGACTACTCCTCATAAACTACTGGTGCAATTTCATCCAAATCCAAACTTTACAGGAATGATCAGTACCAAGTCTAGTTGTGCATATTGTCAGCATTTTCTGGTTCAATGATTTTTGTCAGAGTTATAGCCCTTTAATAATTTTTATTTTTAAAGTTTATCCGGACTACTTCTCTTATACCACTAATGCAATTTCAATGAAACTTTACAGGATTAATCTGTAGCTCAAGTCCTTGCGCATATTGCACGGGGTTTCCGGTTGAATGATTTTTGGCCGAGTTAAATATGGCCCTTTGATACAAAGGTGTTTTTTTCTGTTAGTTGCCAGATACACAAAAACTTGTCCGGACTACTCCTCACAAACTACTGTTGCAATTTTATCCAAACTTTACAGGAATGATCAGTACCAAGTCTAGTTGTGCACTGTCCGCCTGTCTGTCACAAAACTTGTCCCAACATGAAATTGGCCATCATGAGGCGACACATGTGATCACTGATTGCTCTTGTTATTATTATAAGTGACTTTTTCTATGGCGAAGATTTTCTTTTTACATATATATAATGATATCTACTAGTATTTGTTGTATAACATTCATTGATATGATGCCAAGTTTTAAAAGAGTTGTTTTAGTAGAATTTGATATGATACTGACATTAATTAAAAACATTGATGTTTTTGAATGAAATTTTTCCTACCTAATTTCAGGACTCAATCCCGGCTGCCCAGTTTGATTGGAGTAGCAGTGGACTTACTAATCCTTTAGAAGGTAACATTTACCCTTCCTGAGATTGCTCATGCATGACAACAGCCTTAAATTACCCTAGCAACTATGATAATATAATATCAAGAAATATATCTGTTTATATGTTTATAAATACATGTACATGTATTCTAATTATAATTATAATACAGATGGTTACCTAGGTATAAAAGGTATCAGTACTTTAATTATGGAAGCATGGTGGTTTTAATGAAATAAAATTTCCTGCTTATACTAGAAATTATACATGAAGGAACACCATGTGTCTTCCTCTGCCTGAAAATACAAGAACATATAACATAAGACTTAAAAAATGTCAGGGTATTAATTAAAACTCAACGGGAATAAAGTATTTATAGTGTTTTTTAATATATTACTATTGTATAATTATCCATCTAACTTGATAGACATGGCTGCATCGATTTAACACTGTTATGAATAAATGATAACATGTCCAGGAATGTTCTAACTTTATTTAATTTGATGAAAGGAAAATTTCAGGGATGTTACTTATGAAAACGAAAAGTAATCAAAATATAAACACAATGCAAGTCATGTCCTCAGTGGGGATAACATTTTTAGTGAATATTTTGAGGATAGAAAAAAAAAAGAGTCCATTTTACAAAATCATAAAAAACAATTTCATCTCACCCAGTTATTGCTAACAACTATACTTGTATAAGCTTAGCAATTCAAAATATGTAAAAGAAGGAAGGATATTATTTTTCTATCAGTGTTTTATTTTATTTTCACATATGAGGAAAAAAGTTGATTTTCATTATGTTACCAAGGTTAAATCACTGTCAAACAATGTACAAAAACACTTAGTTACACCCCTGAAATTAATTTGCATGTAACCTAGAGAAGTTCCAGAGCTTGTTTAAAATATATTAAAATTTAATCAGCAAGTTTCAGAGTATAAGCGTATTATCCTCCAATTGTTACAGTATATATACAAGTGTAGACAGTTTTATCTGATTTCTATTTCAGCAAACAATAAAACTTTGAATTTGGATTTTCTAATTCAGGATCAAGCCACAAAAAGTAATGGTAAGTGTCCATGTCAAACAGAATATTAGTGGCATTATGCGTGCATACACCTTCTTATCTATAACATGTCCATGTCAGAATAGGTGGCATTATGCGTGCATACACTTTCTCATATATAACATGTCCATGTCAGAATAAGTGGCATTATGCGTACATACACTTTCTCATATATAACATGTCCATGTCAGAATAAGTGGCATTATGTGTACATACACTTTCTCATATATAACATGTCCATGTCAGAATAAGTGGCATTATGCGTGCATACACTTTCTCATATATAACATGTCCATGTCAGAATAAGTGGCATTATGCGTGCATACACTTTCTCATATATAACATGTCCCTGCCAAACAGATTAGGTGGCATTATGCGTGCATACACTTTCTCATATGTAACATTTCCATGTCAAACAAAGTGGCATCATGTGTGCATACACTTTCTCATATATAACATTTCCATGTCAAACAAAGTGGCATCATGTGTGCATACACTTTCTCATATATAACATGTCCATGTCAGAATAAGTGGCATTATGTGTACATACACTTTCTCATATATAACATGTCCATGTCAGAATAAGTGGCATTATGCGTGCATACACTTTCTCATATATAACATGTCCATGTCAGAATAAGTGGCATTATGCGTGCATACACTTTCTCATATATAACATGTCCCTGCCAAACAGAATAGGTGGCATTATGCGTGCATACACTTTCTCATATGTAACATTTCCATGTCAAACAAAGTGGCATCATGTGTGCATACACTTTCTCATATATAACATTTCCATGTCAAACAAAGTGGCATCATGTGTGCATACACTTTCTCATATATAACATGTCCATGTCAGAATAAGTGGCATTATGTGTACATACACTTTCTCATATATAACATGTCCATGTCAGAATAAGTGGCATTATGCGTACATACACTTTCTCATATATAACATGTCCATGTGAGAATAAGTGGCATTATGCGTGCATACACTTTCTCATATATAACATGTCCCTGCCAAACAGAATAGGTGGCATTATGCGTGCATACACTTTCTCATATGTAACATTTCCATGTCAAACAAAGTGGCATCATGTGTGCATACACTTTCTCATATATAACATTTCCATGTCAAACAAAGTGGCATCATGTGTGCATACACTTTCTCATATATAACATTTCCATGTCAAACAAAGTGGCATCATGTGTGCATACACTTTCTCATATATAACAGTTCCATGTCAAACAAAGTGGCATCATGTGTGCATACACTTTATCATATATAACATTTCCATGTCAAACAAAGTGGCATCATGTGTGCATACACTTTCTCATATATAACAGTTCTCAATTAGTTTTCTATAGACTCTAATATACCTCATACTGATAAGTCTTTTCATTTTGAAAAGGGAGATAATTATCTGAGAAGTTTTCCTGAATGAATTACTCAAAATTTTTAAATTATACAAAGCTCAAGGTATATATTATACATACATCATTCTGTAAAATTTCCTGTATAAATTTGGGGAATTATAATTTTCCAGTACTATTTATGCAGAACTCTTGATTTACTGAATTTTACAAATTGAAGATTTATTGACATTTAACAGTGAGGGCCTTAATCAAATTGAAGGTGCTTTTTTCTAGAGGGTCATTCAATAAAGTTCTGATTTAATGACATAAACTGTAAAGACATCTCTTGCAATAAATAACTTAATATTTGCAGTTTACAGAAAAGAAAATAATATGATTTGCTAATTAACAAATGCAGTGCTATGACAACATATAATATTTTTGTGCAGTATTATTATTTCAATTATTTACGAGTCATTCTTGTGTTGTACATGTATATGTAATTGTTTGTTATTATTTAGTATATTATAGTTTGTAATTGGCCAGCAGCTAGTGTTTAAATAGGTGATATATTAGATATGTAAAATAGTATCAGGAGAAAATTTTGTAATATTTTATGGAAGTATGGAAAGAAAAAATCAACTTATAGAATCAACTGATGTAGTTATAAAGAAGTCAGTTATTTCACTCATATTAAATTAGTTCAAACCAGCCAAAAAATAAACTAATTTAATTGATTTAATGCTACTTTATTCTCTAAATATTAATTTCTTTGAAAACAGCCAGAAATAATTGACTTAACATGTCAATAATATTGCTTATCATACATATGATGTGATGTGTGAACTATTTTCATGAAGAATTGTTTATTTCCAAATCCACATATGGACAACAACAGTCAGGTTGTGGCTAATGAACCCCTTTGAACCTGAAATGATTTAATACACTATCAATAAATTTGACTTACATCAACTGGTGGCAACATACGCAACCAGTGCTGACATCCATGCCATTTGATCATGGTCTGCACTGTATACTTCAGTCTGTGCTTATTTTGAAGTTTTTCCCTTAAAATGATGTATGGGATTGCCCATTTAAGATATTAAGGGTAAAGAAAAACAACAATTTAAAGGGCATTTTTACCAGTGATAAATTTAAAGCAATGTAGATATAGCTCCAACTTAAACTTCAGTCTGGTCACTTTAGTTGGATTAATGTCTGGGTTACAGGATGTTTGATATACAAACCATGGATTCCCTAGGAAGGGAAATCATATGTTTATTTTGTTGAAGACAGAATATCTTACGCTACTTGGCCTCATTTGTTGCATTTTGTGAAAAAGTTTACAGTTACATATTTCGGGAAAATTGGGATAGTAATAAAAATCATTGCATTTTGTGAAAACATCGGCAGTAATGTATATTGGAAAAAAATAGGATAATAGTATGAACATAATTGTGGGATTTTACAGGACAAAAAAAGACTTCTTATGTAAGCAGTTTTAACAATAGACTGTTAATTTACCATTTAACATCATAAGATGGAATCTATTATAATTATGCCATTGTAGTTCTCAATTCTGTTAATGTAGGAACAATATTGTACAGTAGTTCTATGTTATGTTAATGTATATACAATACTTCTGCATTATGTTAATGTCGGTAGGAAAATCATGTACACTATACTACTGTATAGTTCTGTAGTATGTTTATGTGTGTTTTAATTTACTGTAGGAAAATAGTGTACATTAAAATTGTACACTATAATTCTTTTTGCATTCTAGTAATGTTAACTTAGGAAATATTACACACCATTGTTCACTCATTCTTAAGGTTTCAGTGTGTCTAAGGACAGAGTTTTGCATGAAGTTTTGTGCTAGTAATGTTTATGTTATGTAGCAAGTGTCTCACTGATATTATTTTGAAATTTTTTCATAGGTTCTTAGTTTACATAGTATATTAATATATCGTTTTCTATCTTGTTTTTCACTCAAAACTCATTTCTTATATTTATAGCATACATTATTAATTTTTCACTTCATGCAAGTTAATTATCTAACTGATTAAAAATTCATTAAATGCCAATTAGCTTTGCATAAAAAAGATATGCTGAAATGATTCTAGCCAAGAATTAATTTAGCATAAGAATGACTGGCTTGTGTTTTATGACATTAATGTAAGATCATTGATCATGTAGTTTGACTTTTCAAAGAATTTTGGAGAGGTAACCTATTGTACTCACCATTGTGTCAGCGTCACACTTTGACATAGTGTTTTGTATCAGTGTGTACTGTATTTAAATATTACATAATTATTATATCTTATGTCATGTATGATTAACTGTCTCCATTAGATATGAATATGTCTTTTATATTTGATTTAAAAATTTATAACAAATCATTATGTTAGGCTTGTTGTTTGTTGATATTTTACCTTTACATACATGTTTGAACAATATATGTTCTAAATTTCAGCCCTGGAAACAGAATTTCTGTCAACCAATGATTCACCAGTTCACAAACCAGCCATTCAACCATTGGAAAATATTTTAGCCAATCTGAAGACAAGTTCAACCTTCAAACCAGCCAATCAGCATGAGGATGTCAGCAAGGAAGCGTCTAAAGTTCTCCTTTCTCTTCCTGACTTACTTTTTATGAAGTCTAAAGTTCTAATGTTTCCCGTAAAGTTGGACGGAGTTGAGAACTAATATTTTAATATAAGATTATAAAATATCTGGGCCCTGTTTCATTAAAGGCTAAATGTACCTATTTTAAATAACTCTTAGTGTAATATTTCTGTTATTTGGATTCGAAATCTAGCTAGGGTTTTTGGATTTTTTCATTTGAGAAATCTATCCAACTGGCTTACTGAAGGTCAGTGTTTCTACTCAGATGTCCGTTTGTGACAGAAATAATGCACAGAAGGACACCTGTGGTCTTCCTCCACCAGTAAAACTGAAAAGTCATCGTATGCCCTCTATTTAGTTGATGCAATGTAAAACCCAGTGCAAAAAATAGATAATATTAATGGTTTTCTTTCTTTGCTAATATAGAAGTAGTATTCAATTACAAATAATTAATACACAGCTCTATAATTTTTTTGAGGGTTTTAATTAAGGACACATTTTACACTTAGAGTACCTAGTGCCTTTTATGAAATGGGCTCCTGTTTACATTGTTTGTTATTGAATATCAGTACACAATCATTCAGTATAGAGAAATTAAAAATGTGAAATCAAATTTGAGTAACTTAAATAATTCAGGAGTTTATGTGCCTGATAAAGACTGTACCAATATGCCAATTTGCTTTACTCAATGCTGGTGACAATAGGCAAGATTATTATTGCTAAAAGTATTTCATTTAAAATATATATTTATATAATTGAGCTGCACCATGACAAAAAAACCAACGTAATGCGTTTGCAACCAGCATGGATCCAGACAAGCCTGCGCATCCATGCAGTCTGATCAGGATCCATGCTGTTCGCTATCAGTTTCCCTACTTGTTATTGGGATGTGCAGGCTGGTCTGGATTCATGCTTGTGGCAAAACGCATTACATTGGTTTTGTCATGGCGTGGCTCATGTGAAGAAAGATGACTGAAATATGGACCATTATAAGTTTTTGTAGATTCAATGTTAATGCACTTGTTAAAATTTACACATTTTCCCCCCATATTAGCTTGAATGTTATAGATACAATGTAGTTCTCAATTATTACCTCCCTTGCCAAAAATGGCAGCCATTTTAAGTGTCAGCATCCTATATGATATAATTGATAAAACATGAAAAAAGCAATAAATATGGCAGGCATAGGCGAATTGTCAAATTCTTTTATATATACGAAAGAAAATATTTTTAGTATAGCACAAATATGTAGAAGAATTTATCAAATGATTTGATTGTGAAAGAAATAATAGTAAAGCACAAATTAATAGAAGATTTTATCAGATTATAATGAAAATGATGGAAATGTAAGAGATATTTATTTTATATAAAGTTAAGCACAAGATAATGTATATTGGAAAAGGCCCTCAAAATGGTTGCCAGGGGAAGTAATTCATGGGTCAAGCATTGATACTAATCTCTTATGTAGTAGGTTACATATACACATGTTTAGTGATGTTTTAATGACCTGTATTATGTCCAGTTCTTGTTCTTGACTTTACCTTCATTGTACTTTTAACTAGTTATTGTAATTTTAAGGCACATTATGCCTTTCAAACAAATAAATCTTCATTTCTTTAGAAAAAGGCAAATATGAATTTTATAATGGTTAAGAACATTTAGTTCTGTATTTTGTTAGCAGAACATCATTATTTCTAACAAGATGAAGAAGAAAGCACTTGTCAAGTTTGCAGAAGGAAATTTGTAATTAAATATGTACAGGTATATTTTCTGATAATTCTGAAGTGGCTCTGTTTGTAAATATAACACAGTATTTTTCACACAAGTATGTCTGTATTTACACTCTGGATAATAAAGATATAGAACAGATTATTTCATAGCAATTCATATTCAGTTATTTTCACCCCAAAATTGAAGATATTTGTCACTGAAAGTCCAGGGCTGGAACTCTTTTAAATATTGTATTTGTGTACATTGCATTGGTGTACAGATGTGTACATTGCATTGATGTACATATGTGTATATTGTATTGATGTACAGATGTGTATATTGCACTGATGTACAGATGTGTATATTATATTGATGTACAGATGTGTATACTGTATTGATGTGCAGATGTATATACTGCAATTGAATGTACAGATGTGTTTATTGTATTGGTGTACAGATGTGTATATTGTATTGATGTACAGATATGTGTATTGTATTGTTGTACAGATATGTAAAATGTATTGATGTACATATGTGTATATTATATTGATATACAGATGTGTACATTGTATTGATGTACAGGTGTGTATATTGTATTGATGTTCAGATGTGTATACTATAATGATGTACAGATGTGTATACTGTATTGATATAAAGATGTGTATATTGTATTGATGTACAGATGTGTACATTATAATGATAAACAGATGTCCTGTGTATATATGTACAAGGTTTAATGTATAATGTAAATATTGTCCAATCTCTAGTCAGATCTCTTTAAACTTTACTTTAGCTAACATTTTGTAATGGACTTGCCCAGATTTGACTTTAGAGCAGTCCATTGTTCATCGAAGGGAGTGAAATATGAAATGGCTCTGTAAGTGGCGGCCATGGCAAATCTAGATCACTAACTGCATTCAGAATGTTTAAAGTACTTTGGTGTTGTGACATCAATGGCATTTTTGTCTTTTAATTAAAGTTTGTTATTCTAATCATTTGTTATAGAATTGATACTGTGTAGATAGTGAAAAATTACCCGTATGTTGATATGTCAGTTTTGATAATTGCTTGTGAAACATGGACTTTATTAATAAGGGTAACATTAAGGCCAGGAGCTTATGCTTTCACATTTATTTTTGTTTATTTTAATTGTTCTGGTAAAGATAAATGATGTACTGTATCATAGGGTGTAGGGTCAGATTATGTTCTCTGTATATTACTTCCAGATAACTGAACAGCTTCAGATTTAAATACTACACTTTATTTTATGTTAACCACTAAAATACTGGATTTTTACCCGAGAAATAAAAGCCATATCACTCAATATCACTCATGTGTAGTTTATCACAAATGTGCACTATATCACTCGCACTGTGATTGATATAGATTTACAAAACTTTTTGTTAAAGAGTGTATTAATTTGTGTGATTCCATATTGTTGATTTGTATTTTGTTCTTTATGGCATATATCTTAATTAAAATGTCATTTCCCAACTAAAATATTCAAGAAGGACTGCAGTTATGACTGAAAATTTAATAACTTGTTTGTGCAGCATTTGCATAGCTGTTGAACGTCTAACGATGTCTTATTTTGTGCATCTGTTTCCAGCACTTCATTGAAAACAGTTAGAAATAATTAATGTTTTCCTTTACATATTAGGCATAGAATAAAAAAGGCATAAAATAAAAGAATTTTTTCTTAGTGAATATGCTATATACATGTATTGGACATTGAGGTGAGAAAATGTCCACATTTTAACTTGTGCTGTACATTGGTGAAAATGTTGCAATTTTCTCACTCCTTAATGTAGTACAATATTTCTGTCACAAGAAATTATATAATTATTTTTCATTGTTGTTTTTTCTTTGGGTTTTTTTTTTCGAAGTTTATCCATCAAACATTAGGCACAATGATAATTTGCTGTTAACAGGGAAATAATGATTAAAGATTGCTTATGTTCTGTGAACAATACATATGTAAGTCTGAACAGTGGTTGCTGCATTATCAATAGTTTTATGTCATACAGATATCATAGCAAATGTCTCCTTGAATTTATAACTATGTGCCTATATGTGTACAAGTTATAAAAATTAACACTGTTCTGTTCTGTATCATACATCAAGACAAGGCTCTAAAAATGTTTCACATATGATTAAAATGTCTGTTAAATTGTCTATAATTAATTCCTAATTAATTGCTTTCATTAATTTATATTGTAATTGGAAGTCTAACATTCCATTATTCAAGATCTGTGTTAATATTCTGTTATATTTGTTTATTAAATTTTGTTTAATATGCATGTACCATTATTTATTGTTTTAACTACCTGTGCTTTTAACCTTGATTATGCTTGAGAAAATACTTTCATGAATATGAAACTATAATACTTTACTATAAACAGTCAGTTCATTATGTTAATTTAATGACCAATGTGTAAGAAAAATTAGACAATACTTGTTATTAGGAACTCCACTAAGTTCCAAAAGCTTAAAAAACAAAATCTGAAATACTTTACATAGCTCAAATGTTGCACTCGTAACTAAAAAAATACAAAGGATATTAAAAAAGATAAAATGATTAAAATCTGAAATCATGTTTTTGTGATTTTTAGCCTTTAATTGAAATGCTTTTCATTTCTGGGCCATTTTGCACAAGATAAAATCCTCAGTGGAGTAACTTTAATATTTTGAAGTATCCTTTGAAGTTTTCTATGTTAAACATGAGAAAATTTGATTTCATGTTAAAATATCACTACATTTGTTTTGTCTTGTAATATTATTTTATAAAGTTGAACATTTCTTCATTAAATATAAAAAAAATAGTTCATACTCATACACTCTTTTCTGTATGACACACAAAATCACATAATTATTTTTATGCCCCCATTTTGAAAAAAAGGGGGTATATTGCTTTGCACTTGTCGGTCCGTCGGTCCGTCGGTCCGTCGGTCCGTAGACCAAATGGTTTCCGAGTGATAACTAAAGAACCCTTAGGCCTAGGAACTTCAAACTTGGTATGGTGATTGGTCATGACCAGTAGATGACCCCTATTGATTTTGGGGTCAAGGGGTCAAAGGTCAAGGTCATATTGACCTTGAAAGCAAAAACGGTTTCCGATCAATAACTAAAGAACCCTAAGGCCTAGGAACTTCAAACTTGGTATGGTGATTGGTCATGACCAGTAGATGACCCCTATTGATTTTGGGGTCAAGGGGTCAAAGGTCAAGGTCACATTGACCTTGAAAGCAAAAACGGTTTCCGATCAATAACTAAAGAACCTTAAGGCCTAGGAACTTCAAACTTGGTATGGTGATTGGTCATGATCAGTAGATGACCCCTATTGATTTTGGGGTCAAGGGGTCAAAGGTCAAGGTCACATTGACCTTGTAGGTAAAAACGGTTTCCGATCAATACCTAAAGAACCTTAAGGCTTAGGAACATTAAACTTGGTATGGTGATTGGTCATGATCAGTAGATGACCCCTATTGATTTTGGGGTCAAGGGGTCAACGGGCAAGGTCACATTGACCTTGTAGGTAAAAACGGTTTCCGATCAATAACTAAAGAACCTTAAGACCTAGGAACTTCAAACTTGGTATGGTGATTGGTCATGATCAGTAGATGACCCGTATAGATTTTGGGGTCAAGGGGTCAAAGGTCAAGGTCACATTGACCTTTTAATTATAAACGGTTTCTGATCAATAACAAAAGAACCCTTAGGCCTAGGAACTTCAAACTTGGTATGGTGATTGGTTATGACCAATCAGATGACCCCTATTGATTTTGGCGTTAAGGGGTCAAAGGTCAAGGTCACATTGACCTTGTAGGTAAAAACGGTTTCCGATCAATAATGAAAGAACCCTTAGGCCTAGGGACTTCAAACTTGAGATGGTGATTGGTCATGATCAGTAGATGACCCCTATTGATTTTGGGGTCTAGGGGTCAAAGGTCAAGGTCACATTGACCTTGTAGGTAAAAATGCTTTCGGATCAATAACTTAAGAACCCTTATGCCTAGGAACTTCAAACTTGGTATGGTGATTGGTCATGACCAGCAGATGGCCTATTGATTTTGGGGTCAAAGGTCAAGGTCACATTGACCTTGTAAGTAAAAACGGTTTCCGATCAATAACTAAAGAACGCTTCGGCCTAGAAACTTCAAACTTGGCATGGTGATTGGTCATGACCAGCAGATGACCCCTATTGATTTTGGGGTCAAAGGTCAAGGTCACATTGACCTTTTAAGTAAAAACGGTTTCTGATCAATAACTCAAGAACGCTTAGGCCTAGGAACTTCAAACTTGGTATGGTGATTTGTCATGACCAGCAGATTACTCCTATTAATTTTGGGATCAAGGGGTCAAAGGTCAAGGTCACAATGACCTTGTAAGTAAAAACGGTTTCTGATCAATAACTAAAGAACGCTTAGGCCTAGAAACTTCAAACTTGGCATGGTGATTGGTCATGACCAGCAGATGACCCCTATTGATTTTGGGGACAAAGGTCAAGGTCACATTGACCTTGTATGTTAAAACGGTTTCTGATCAATAATAAGAGAACCCTTAGGCCTAAGAACTTCAAACTTGGCATGGTGATTGGTCATGACCAGCAGATGACCCCTATTGATTTTGGGGTCAAGGGGTCAAAGGTCAAGGTCACATTCTTGTAGGTAAAAACGGTTTCTGATCAATTTACTAAAAACGCCTAGGCCTAGGAACTTCAAACTTTGTATGATGATTGGTCGTGACCAGCAGATGACCCCTATTGAGTTTTGGGTCAAGGGGTCAAAGGTCAAGGTCATGACCAGTAGATACTTTATAACCCTTATTAATTGTTTGATCACTGGGTCAGACGTCATGCATAATAACCTTATCACATTAATTGGCTGCTGATAGGGGGCATACATGTTTTACAAACATATCTTGTTTTGCTAATATTGATATAAACAGTTAGTGATCAACTACAACACAATATACAGCCTATTTTTGTGTGGTCACAGTACATTTGTATTAAACTGTCAATGGCATTTTGAAACCATATCTTTCATTATAAAAATGCATTCATTTCCTTTGTTTCCTTTCACCATATGTATTTATCAAAGATCATGAATTAAACATTTTGTCACTGTCATACTTGAGTTTTGTTTTATGGATGTGAGAGAATTGCCCCCCACCCCCACACTCCCATTTTGATCTATTGATCTGTAGAAAAAATAACAAAATTCCATTCAATTTAGTCTAATACAATCGATTTAACTTCATACATCAATTAAAATAGTTTCAGGACCATTTCACCGTGATTCTGATCTTTTCACAGTGAACACAGGACAAGGACATAGCTTATTGGTCTATACAAAATTTGTTTTAATTCGATTGTGTAGGAAGCTTAAAGTTTATAGACACTCGAACCGTTCCTGTAGTTTCTTGCTCAAGGAAACAAGGGCTACCCCTGACCGGGTTAAAACCCCACACAGATAGCGATCCTTTGATTATTTCGATTAAGCCGTCCGGCGAGCTCAATAGGTAGAGCGTTGGACTCTGAGTCGGGCGACCCGGGTTCGATTCCCGGATGGCTCAGATCACTTTCGTTGTTATTGATCATGAAATATTTTCTACGGTCATTCGCACTGCACCTCTGCTCTGATATGTACAGAAGTTTCAGTTGCGGAAGTGAATGCAACTAGTACTGGTAAACTGCTTTACAGCATGTCCAGGAATGAGGCTGTGACTGAACTGTGCTCTGGTAAATTCAATGTGGCTCACTGCCGTGATCCGGAGTGGAAAGTACCAACACCACGATCCTTCGATTACTAGTCATGCCGCCACAGTGAATGTGTGTTTGACAAAACTGTTGCTTTATTGTCTAAATCTAAATATATTAATCATTAGTGTACAATAACTATAAAAACGCACTGCACGAGTCAATATTTACATGATTTTAACACGAATGTGCAAAAATATTTGCATTTAATTAAGTTGGAACAGGTATGTAATCAATTTCATGGACATCATCGTTACAACACCAATAAAACTATAATTACAAATTAACTTATTTTGTTTAGTTCCGCCCATTGCAATTGTTGTCTCGTTTAGGGTACACGCTTTCTTTTTCTTGGGGACTATATGCCGCTTTTTATGGAATAACAGGAAAGTATCACGTTGACGGTTCCATGATAACCGCTGTATGAACACTTCTGCGGGTGTTTCAAAACTTTACCAGTTCATGTTAAACTGTTGAATTCTGCATTTAAAGCCGGTGCTGGGGCGTGGACGGTAACTTGCATTTTCCAGTACCGTCCATGAACAGCTCAATCAAACCGAGCCGGCAACATTTTCATTTTCATCGTTTTGGGCGTTCCTTAATTGGGGATTTAGTTTTTCTCGAATAGTAAATCTTTCTTAAACTTAGTTATTTAAAGATAAAAATCATCGTACTGATAATTATATAAAAATTATTCGTGTTCGCAGTTGTTGTCCTGGTTTAATTTTTTCGAAGCACTTATAGTCATGGTTTCAATTTGCTTCAGCACTTAAAGTCATAGTTTTTTTTGTTTGTTCGCACTGATATTCAAATTTCATTTGTGTTTGCACAAATATTCTTGGTTTTATTTTGTATTCGCAAATATATTCATTGTTTCAATTTGTGTCGTACTAAGAATCATGGTCGCACTAATATTCATATAGAGTCATTTGTGTTGGCACAAATATTCAAATTGTTCGCACATAGTAATAGATCTATATATTTATGGTTTCGTTACTTATTCTCGCACTGGTATTTCTGGTTTCAACTCCTACGCTTTTTTTAATAATTCGTATCTTCTTTCTTTGTCCGGCGATTAATCTTTTATTTCGTTATAGACGAATATAATTCGAACAAACTACAACAAAAAAGTGCCAAGATAAATAATCGCAAGCTCAGTAATTTATCATATTGAAAGTTTCCATACTTTTCATCAGTTCAGTGAGGCGTTTCTAATCCGGACCTTTTCAATCCGAATGCTTCTAAAAATACATTTTCAATTAATCAAATAATCATTAAAGTTGTCAATATGTTGTTTAACCATTCTTTGATTAATATTGTTTGATTAATCTGTTTGATTGATATTTAAAGAATATATCAGAAATTAAATACATGTAGATAAATAAAAATATTAAAATTAGCTAGTGTTTTTGTTTTAAATTTTATAACCTATTCTTCAAAACGATAAAAGTCCCTGCTCGAATATACAAAAATATATAAAATTTTATAAATATCCAGCCAATGAAATTTCAGTTTTTGGACATTTAACAGCCTAATACATTGGCATGATCTATTTCTAACCGTGCGATCTTTCGACGAGCATTGCTCTTGCTTTTCTAGTAGAATTAACATTGATGGGAATATCGTGCCACAAACTATTAACTATGAGACAGGTTACTCAATGTAAAATAGCTAAATTCGACATGTCAGTTTGATAAATTTATATGAAAAGCGGTGACTTCTGATGACATTACTCATACTTTTATTTATAAGGGTATATACACAAGATCTGGTAAAATCCAAATCATAATTGAGCCGCGTCGATCACGACAAAACCAACATAATGGATTTGCGACCAGCATGGATCCGGACCAGCCTGCGCATCAGGATCCATGCTGTTCGCTTACAGACCCTATAACAAGTAGAGAAACTGATAGCGAACAGCATGGACCGTGACATGATCAGACTGCGCGGGGGCGCAGGCTGGTCTGGATCCATGCTGGTTGCAAACCCACTATGTTGGTTTTGTCATGGCACGGCTCATATAAGGGTACACACAAGATCTGGTAAAATCCAAATCATATGAGAATGAATATGCGTGGAGATGCAGAGATATTTCCAGGACGAGGTAATTAGAGCTAAATCAGCTTCAAGAACGTGTGCGTATTAATTTGTGTGTACAAGGTATCTGCGTGCGAGTATAATTCTGATTGTACGATGTTAAGTGCGTATAAAACAGCGTGCAGCACACGAGGCACTGAGAGTATAATTTTGATCGTACGAGGTTAAGTACGTATGAATCTGCGTGTTGAGGTAATGCGAAATGCGAATTATCTTCTGCGTATATGTGTAATGCGAGTATAAGTTTGAGGTAGTGCAAGTGTAATAGAAACTCAAATTTCAATCAGCTAAGAAAACGTTAAAGTTGTATTATTACGTTTTCATAAACAATGAATGCAGTTGAAAACATATTTCGATGCATAAAGATGCTACATTAACTTAAAGTGTATGGCTTATCATAATTTTAAAGCCCATTCTTTCAACAACAAAAAATTACTTGTCATAAAAAATATGCACTCATTTTTTTTTAAATGTTTATTACCTGAATTTATTATTCTGTATTTTCTAGGGGAAAATCACAATAGCTAAATAGTTACGTAATTAGGGTTATAGTCAAGGTGCTTCTATAGAATCAAAAAATTTTATAGATTTAAATTTAAATTCTTGTAATGAGCATTTTGACATCTTCTTTACATAATTCTGTAAAAATTCTCGCTACCTTTGTTATTGATTTACAGAGACTCATATACAAATATAAATATACATATTTAAATATAGCTCTGTGGTTTTTAGTTGAAGCCGTACTTGTAAGTACAAAAACTGGGTAAAGAAAAGTCCTAGACCTGAGTGCAATATCTCATTATAACTCCTTATTTAATCTTTAATAAATATGTTATTTTAGTTACAATTGTTTATGAAACACACCTATGTTTACCAGACAAGCTGCTTATCAACAATTTTGCAATAGGTCAAAATATTCATTTGATGTCCTTGCATGTATATATATACAGTCCATGGCGGACAGTACTGATACAATATAGGACTATATAAGTATATAGATGTAGAGCTCGATCTATGCCTCTTAATTTCTGGCGGGTATATGCGTAAGCATATTCAACAATATTGCCAGTTAATGTTTAAACCTGCTTGTAGCTGCAGTTACTTTATTATATTTTTTTCACGATGATTACAAACAGTATACATGTGTTTTAATATGTTCATCGATCCGAATGTTGATCGACTTATAAATAGTGGTGCTCTAGCTGTTCAAATATATAATGTGATGTGGGAAGACAATCCTGAAGATATCATAATTATATTCCTTTATGTGGCATTATTGTAACCACATCAGCTGAGTTCTTAGTCGTTTCATAAACGGTCTGCAATGGTCACGTTTCTATCATCATGTAATCACTGACTTCGTCAGGGCCTCAATATTTTGTACAAGTATGGTGAAGCAAAAGAACACTAGTCATTTAATATCCTCTCTACAATTTGAATTATAATTGACGAGTGAGAAACAGTGATTATTTCTTTTATAACGAATAAAAAAAATGAATCTTACATTGAAGAACATAAAAATTCACACTTTTGTCGTTTCTGTCTCCTTCCTTTTATAATTATTAGCTAAAACTAGCAGAAATCTACTAGATTTCTAATACGATGGTGAAGTTTCCACCATAAAAGCAACAATATCTGAACGCTTAAATACAGTTCTAGGGAGATAAATAATATTTTTGTATTTATTTAGCATTTTAAAAGTGTTTTATATTTAGTAATTTCTATTATTTCAAATAGTAATGAAAAATCCGATTTATATGTAACACAGAATGTGAAATAGCTGTTTGGTTTCATGCGCATGAATATACGATAATAATAATTCATATATGTTTAAAGGTAAGTTTTGAAAAATGTAAATGTGCGTGAATGAAATATTTCAAAGTAATCGAGTTCATATGTTTTGTTTTCTTTACATTGGGAATTGTGTGAGATACCGACAAATTATTGTATTTTTAATTCAAGATCTACTTCGCGTATAAATATTTCGTGACCTAGTTATTTGGCACTACGGTGTTTACCACTGGTTACGCACCTTGAATGCATCGAAAGTAAACTGGTGAGATTGTGGATTTTAAATCGAAAGCATGGTCATGGCTGATAGATACGTTGAAGATATACGAAATGGAAGAAGATTTCGCGGTCCTAGTCCTGCAAACGGATTCTCCGAAGACAGCAGCGACGAGGAAGAACGTGGTAAGCGCTACCGCAGACAAAACGAGTTTCCGTATTTTTAGTCGCTATCGGATATATTTCGCTTTAATTAAGAATTAGTTGTTATTAGTGATTATGCGTTATTTCTCCTAATATTTAGCTGATTTTTTTTTCAGGTGGAGGCGGTATGCGTGTTGGAAATGATTTTCAAGTGAAAGTTCCTGCCTTTGACCCAGGTAAAACCTCAGAAGGGCCTCGCTCAGTAAAAAAAGTAAAATGGGAAGTCCAATTCATACAGAATTTACGTTGTATGAATAAGGAATCCCAGTATTTAGAAAATATTAATAGTCTTACTTTACACTTGAATTAAGTAATCATTATCATTTTGTCAGTTTTGTTAAAAATCCTTTTTGTATGATCCAAAAAGGGAAGTAATTTATGGCAAATTTATAATGATTCGTCCCATTGACAACTCGAAATTTTGGAACACTACCGAACAATAATTATTTATGGTCTTTTCACGCCATGCCATTTAATTATGTCCACACATTTTTTACATTTTATGTGTAATGGTAACCCTAGTTTAGATCTATTTAGATATTCAGGGATTTTTTTGGCTTATTTTATAGCTGATATTCGGTCATATTCCCAAATGAAAATAGTACCTTTTTCCCAATTCATAGGAAAAAATTCCCAATTTAAAGTTACAAATTAAAAATATTGAAAAACAAACTCTAAAATCTTTGAAAATAAGGATTTCTTCACTGTTTATGGTGCTTAAATGTTTGAAGATGCGATCCTAGACAGAGATTCTTTGCATTCAAATTTTTATTTGAATCATTGCAAAAATTTAAGTGATGCATTTTTTCCGCAATTTTTAACAAAGACATTGATGAAATTCCCAATTCCATGGGTTTGGGACATGTTCCCAAAATCCTGGAAAAAAATCCCTGATATTGTTTCAATATATTAACCACAGTCACTGGGGGGGGGGGGAGAGGGTTCACACTGCAATGGAAAACTTAAGTTAAATAATTTAGCATCGGTTTCATTCATTTTAATTTGCACAAAAATGAAATAAATCTTTAAAAAATCTTATTTACTGTCCGTGCCGAGTGGTTAAGGTTGTTGACTTTAAAACCACTTGCCCTCACTGCTGTGGGTTAGAATCCCGACATGGAACTTTGGATTCTTTCATGTATGGAGGCTATGTCGGTGTGACATAAAACCCAAATAAAAAAACAACAACAAAATAAAACAACTGTCAAGAGCCTAAAAAAAGTTGTAAAGATTGCAGACTCCAAAGTCCAAAAATTTAAATTTGTAAATACACAAATCTCTGTACAATGCCAAGATCTTAGTCATTTGGCATGTAGTCACATTGTGGTCCTCAAGAAGTTATAGAAATCATGCCCTTGGGTCTTGCCTGGGAGTCACTTAATTTATGTAGACTTACATAGTTAGAATTGGGTATTGTGTGAAATCACAATGCCAATAGGATAAATATTTGACATGAAGCATTTTATAGCAGACATATAAATATTTTAAAAATTATGCAGAGCTGGTAAAATTGACAAACCCAATGTGACCGCATTTAATATTTTAATATTAACACATTGAAATAAAAAATTGTGACCTGTATCTCATGTGAGCAGTCTAGGGCAATTATGTCCCTCTTGTTTAAAGACCTTTTCTTGTAACCCTATAAATTAGAGCTTTTTAGGACCGGTTCTTATTGCACTGTTGAGTACTTATGATAATTGATTGTGTGTCTATTATTAGCTCTTGTTGTTGAATACATATATATTAAGTTGAATATATTGCAACTTCAACAAATAGCAATATCACTGTTAGTTTTACCTTGCTTAAGCATAAGTTAAGGTGAAATTTTGTAGTACAATGATTGTTATCCACAATTTATTTAGTTGATGTATCCTCTTTTACCACATGGTAGATTTGATACTTATTTCACAGCAATGATTCTTAGGCTGCCTTCCTGGACAGTTTTATAAATTTTGCCTCAAAGGGCAAAATTGGCCTTACCCTTGGAGTCCCTAGGTTTAAAAAGACTTAAAGATGTTTTTATTAAAGACTTTTCAGGAGTTTTCATTAAGACATACAGACAAAATTAAATTGAAATATTGTTAGAATATGATAACAGAAACATTTTAAGCTAAAAAAAATGGGTGTCATTGATTTTGTTTTGAGTTATCCATCCTGACTTAGTCTGTTTTTGCTTAATTCAAAGGCAGATAATTCATGATGATAGATAAACAATACCTTATTTTTATGCCCCCGCCATGAAATGCCTGGGGCATATAGGGTAACCCTATTCTGTCAATCCGTCATCATCAGTTTCCATTCATTATCTTATGAAAGGTTGTACACATTCAACTCAAATTTGACATATGGATATATCATGAAAAAATACAGGTCATGTTCGAACTTGGTCATGGTCCAATGATTTTTGACAGAGTTATGCCCCTTGATGAAATTTTCAGTTTCCGTTCATTATCTCCCCAACGGTATTACACATTCAACTCAAATTTGACATATGGATACATAAAAGGAATGCACAGATCAAGTTTGAAATTTGGTCATGGTTTAATGATTTTTGACAGAGTTATGCCCCTTTCACTTTGAAAATAAAATGAAATTTACAGATTCTATTCATTATCTCCCTAACAGTATTACGCATTCAACTCAAATTTTACATATGGATACATCAAAGGAATGCACAGATCAAGTTTGAAATTGGTCATGGTTCGATAATTTTTGGCAGAGTTATGCCCCTTTCACTTTGAAAAATATATGAAATTTTCAGTTTCCGTTCATTATTTCCCCAACGGTATTACACATTCAACGCAAAGTTGACATATGGATAAGTTAAAGGAATAAGCATGTCAACTTTGAATTTGGTCATGGTTCGATGATTTTTGGGAGAGTAATGTCCCTTTCACTTTGAAAAAAAAAGGAAATTTTCAGTTTCTGTTCATTATCTCCCCAATGGTTGTACACATTCAACTTAAATTTGACATAAAGATACATCTCAATAGGAATAAGCAGTTCAAGTTCGAATTTGGTCATGGTTTAATTATTTTGGACAAAGTCATCTCTCTTGAATGTTGGAAAAATTTTGAATTTTCTATTTCAGCACTCCTACTTTTGTGGAAATGTATGGAGTCATTATTTTGGCTACAAATATGCAATATGCAATTTACAAAAGGTTAACACTGAAAAGTTTCAGTGCCTTGAACTTTCTTTAAAAATGGTTTGTTTACATTGAATAGTTTTAAGGGCTTGAACTTAAAATGAAAAAAATAGTTTGTGCAAACAAATTAGGAACTAAATATTGTATTTGTAACTTCTGAATTTTGGGCTGCATGCGGGGGCATCCATGGCATGACATCTCATTTCCAGTTTCTTATTTTCATTTAGCTTTTTTGTGCCCACTTAAGAGGCGGGCATTTAGATTTACCCTTGTCCGTCCGTTCACTTTTGTGTCGCACGTAACTCAAAAAGTATTTGACCTAGAGTCATGAAACTTTACAGGAATGTTGATCAGCATGTGTAGTTGTGCACCTGGGTATTTTCGTCTGGATATTTTTAGTATTTTCAGAGTTATTGCCCTTGACCTAGTTAAATTTTGCAATTTTCAACTTGTGTCGCATGTAACTCAAAAAGTATTTGACCTAGAGTCATGAAACTTTACAGGAATGTTGATCAGCATGTGTAGTTGTGCACCTTGGTATTTTCGTCTGGATATTTTAAGTATTTTCAGAGTTATTGCCCTTGACTTAGTAAAATTTTGCAATTTTCAACTTGTGTCGCATGTAACTCAAAAAGTATTTGACCTAGAGTCATTAAACTTTACAGGAATGTTGATCAGCATGTGTAGTTGTGCACCTGGGTATTTTCGTCTGGATATTTTTAGTATTTTCAGAGTTATTGCCCTTGAGTTAGTAAAATTTGGCAATTTTCAACATGTGTCGCACGTTACTCAAAAAGTATTTGACCTAGAGTCATGTAACTTTACAGGAATATTGATTAGCATGTGCAGTTGTGGCACCAGGTATTTTCGTCTGGATTTATTTAGTATTTTTAGAGTTATTGCCTTCACTTAGAAAATTTTTTGCAATTTTCAACTTGTGTCGCAAGTTTCTAAAAAAGGATTTGACATAGTCATTAAACCTTATAGGCAGGTTGCTCAGCATATTTTAGATTTGCAACTGGGGTTTTGCTTGTGGATTTATCCAGTATTTGTAGAGTTATTTCCCTTGACTTAGTAAAAAGATTGACAGAACAGTGGCGCGATGGGCACCCGTGTCCTATGGACACATTTCTAGTTTGGTTCTGAGTCATTGTGCAAAATTTCAAGAACGAATGAAGCGCGTATTTTTTCCTACTCATTATTTCTTAAAAAATGGCATTTTTTTTTATTTAGAAATTTTAAGAAATAATTTATGGAATTTTATATTATGTAATGTGATAAAAAAAAAAAAAAAAAAACAACAAAATAAAACATGTAGAAGTTAAAGCAAGATTTTATAGACATAGGTATGTTATCTGCCCTTGAAATGACCTCAAATAAGTAAATAATAACTTTTGTTTTGCTTGAAATATTTCTGTCATCATATTCTAACCACATGTCAAGTTTAAAGAAATTCTATTGATTCACAGGCTTAATTCTGCCGATATGTCTATATAAAAACTCCTGAAAAAATCCTTAAATAGGTAAACAGATTTAAATTATCTTGCATGAAATCACATGGCCTAGAGATAAGATATTTGGCATGTTGTTTATTTTGATCTAAAAAACTAAAACTTACACTGGATAGGACAAGAAACACAACAA